TGCCTTGAGGAGCTCCTCTTTCACAACCTTGGAACCCTTAGGAAGGAGAGGATTGACTGGTGCAACAGAAGGATTAAGAGAGGCCAAGATCCGGGAGGTCGTCTCCACAACTCTCTCAACCTCAAAACCAAAGGAAGATGCCTGTCCTGAGGCAGCAACGCTTGGAGTAGCAGGAAAAACGCCTTGGGAAGAGAAGTCTGGGATAGTTGGAGTATAGGGAGTGAGTGACATGTCTGTCCTTGGCACCTTGGCAAGAGGAGTGGAGCCATCGACAGAGCTGGGTCCTAACTTGCGTTTGGCGCTGCTCTTGCTGTTGCTCTTGTTACTGCCCTTGATATTCTTCATTTGGAAAAGTTTAGCTCTGAGTTCAGCAGCAGTGGGCTCCATTGAGGATGAACCTGCGGGACCTAAGAATAGCTAAGCCTCGCCCTTAGACAGAGAAAAGAGGAGAGAGGATACAAAGAAAAAGTGTTACCTGATATATCTTCGGCAAAAAATGGGATGGGGCCAGCAAAGAAAAGTAAAAGGGGAGCTTCAACCCTCGCCTCATGAAGGCAGAACCTGTGTTCTACGAGAGCCCAAGGTTGGATGAGCTCAAAATATTTCTCTGATTTGCATTTTTCTAATTTTCGCAACACTCGCTCTTCTTCAGCGCTGAGCTCAAGTCGAATACCTAGAAAACCAAGGAAAACAAGAAATAAGTTGACAAAGCAGTCAAGCTTGGATTAAATAGGGTTTGGGCAGAAACATACCCAAATTATCGGGACAGACCACTCTATAGGGATGACGAGGGTATTAGTTTTATCCTCTAAGTTGAACTCCCACTGTGTATCGGGTACAAAAAAAAAATTATTTCTTTTAGCCCTTATGGGAGCTTGGGAGGTCAGAGATGACCTATTTGGCCTTAGTCCTCCTCTTGGAAATATACAGAAAACCGTCAGAGGAGGTCTGCTTGACATTGAACAGCTCCATAAGTAAGGAAACAGTAGGGACCCTAAGCTTATGGTTCTTAAAGAAGACTATTAAACCCACAAGAACACCCCAGAAGTTGGGGGAGAACTGGGCAGGGCAGACATTGAAGTGTTGAAGGACACCTTTAATAAAAGGATGAATGGGGAAGCGAAGTCCGTTATCAAAAGCTGCTAGGAAGAAACAGACCTTCTTATAGACATAGTGAACATATGTGGTGTACTTATCAGGACTCCAGGGCTGAACCCCTGGGGGGAAACGAAAACGAGCACTAAGAGCCTTCAGGTCAGTAGGGGTAAGTCCGCTGGGACCTACAAGTTTAGCGTTCCTACAGGCAGCCCCTAAGCCTGAACCAATGACTCCCACACCACTCACTTTACCCTTGCCCTTATCAGGTTTATCAGGCATGGGAGAAGAGGTGGAGGGGCCTCCTCGGTTTTCACCTCTACCTCGGCAGAATCCACACTAGGAAAGTTGTCAATCTTGTCACCTATATCCCCTAAATTAGAATCTCTTTCGGTAGACCTATCGCCTAAGAGGGAAACAGAGGAAGGAGTTGCTCCAGATGAGGCATACATGATTGGTAGAGAAAAAGGCAGATTGAAAGAATGATAGAGAGGAGGAATACTAATCAAACACCCCTAATAATCCTAAGGTCAGCACTGTACCCCCCAATGGTAAGAATTTGCACAATGGAGTTCCAATCCACAAAAGCAAGGAAGATGAGATAAGCAACAATCTCGATTCTAAAAGTAATAGAATCGAAAAACCCAGAAAAACAACTACCACCTCGAATTCGAGGGCTCCAGAGCGGGGAAAGGTAAGAGAAATAGAAGGGGGCAAAAATGGCGTACCTAGACAAGGAAGAGAGCAGCAAACAGCAACCGAGGGTGAAATTGGAATGAAGAAGCAAAGCAAGACTTCGAGGCATACCCGAAAAACATAGTCTTGAGTAGAGAATAAGTGAATCGCGTGTAGAAAAGCCTAGAAATTACAGAAGAAAAGAGGCAGAGGTAAAGGTAAACAACATAGAAGATGAACATGAAGTTTTGAGCAATTTTTGGGTAGCCGTTTGAGCATTTAAAGCTTGAGTGACGTGGGCTAAAACATGTGCGAGAATCGAGGAAGCATGATTGTTGTCAACTATGAAAGGCCCCCCCCCCCCCATGTGCATCTCACATGTGGACTAAGGTCAGCTAGGTGCAGGTCTGGTCCAATACGAAAACAGCTCAACCCATGCCCAAGCCCGCTTAAGCCAAGGGCTGAGGGACAACTGATGATACCTAAAATAAATTCAAGTGCTAAGTTCGGACCAGGAGGTCAGACATATTAGCAGAGGTCAGAGGGTAAGGGCCGAGTGTCTCTTAAGACAAGATAACAGCTGAATAACCACGAGAGGATCCTAAAGCGTTAGGAAGCTGTAATCAAGGCACCCAATCTCAACCAACCAAGATTTTCTCCTAGAATTAAGAAGAAGCCCACGAAATAAGGGCAAGAATCTCGGCTAAGATCCTTCTTAGCAGGGAATGATCTTATAAATGTAAGGTAACACCCCATAACCGCGGGGGGGGGGGG